GTGATGCTGCGGGGTCGGTCAGCCCAAGCAATCCGGCACTGAAGGGGTGCCGGGAGCCTCTGGGGCTGCAGCGCGGGGTGAGCTGCACATCCTGCAGCTGGTCCTGCACCGGGGCTGGGCTCTCGCCCCTCTGCCCATCCCTCACCCTGCCCTCATCCCATCCCTCACCCTGCCCTTATCCCCCACAAGCTTGTCCATCTTCCCCCACGCTTGCTTTGCTTGAATTAGAGTGGGAAAATCAGCGTTTTTTTCCTTCTGGGGTGTCCATTCTGCTCCTCAGGATAGATCCCACCACGAGGAGACCTCTTTAGCCAGGGCAGCCCAAAATGCCCAAGGCCAGCGCCTCGTTGAGGTTCTCCTCGATGGTTCCCGCGGTGCCCAGGAGATGGTGCTCTCGGATGTGCTTTGGCACCAGGAGCACACTGAGGGCCGGCAGCGCCGAGGGCAGGCCGGGGTGCCAGGGTGAGGGGGGACAGTCCCCACCAGCCGGGCAGCTGTTCCTTCGCCCCGGGATCAGGGATCTGCTCTGCCCCTGCCATGCCATGGGCTGGATGCTTGTCCCACATAAGGAGCAGATGGATGTGACCCCAAACCTGTGACCCCAAATCTGTGACCTCAAATCTGTGACCTCAAACCCTGTGATCCCAAACCTGTGACCTCAAACCCTGTGACCTCAAACCTGTGACCCCAATCCCTGTGCCCCAAAACTGTGCCCCCAAACCTGTAATCCCAAACCCTGTGCCCCTAAACCCTGTGACCCCAAACCTGTGACCCCAAACCCTGTGACCCCAATCCTGTGACCCCAAACTCTGTGACCCCAAACCTGTGCCCCCAAACCTGTAATCCCAAACCCTGTGCCCCTAAACCCTGTGACCTCAAACCCTGTGACCCCAAACCCTGTGACCCCAAACCTGGGACCCTACATCTGTGATCCCAAACCCTGTGACCCCAATCCTGTGACCCCAAATTTGTGACCCCAGCCCTGTGACCCCAAACGCTGCTCTGGTCTCTGCTCCCCTGTCAGAGCCTGCAGAGGGACCTGGGTGATGGCACAGCCCTGCCCTGGCCCTGCCTCCCTGCTGCTGCTGCCACCAAACCCCCTGGGAATGACCCCGAGCCTTATTCTGACACCAGATGGGGGAGATTTGTCCCATCCCACTCGTGCAGAGCCACCCAGCCCCTCTGCCATGCCTGGGAGGGCAGCTCCAGGGGCTCCTTCTCCAGCTACTGCCCACCAAAGGTGTTGTGTTCTCTCACTAAAGGTGTTTCCCCTCCCCAAAGGTGTTGTGTTCCCACTCCAAAGGTGTTGTGTTCCCTCTCCAAAGGTGTTGTTTCCTCTCTCCAAAGGGGATGTTTTCCCCCACCACCACGGGCCATGGGGAGGGTATCAAATTTATTCCCCACCCTCTCATTCCCCACTCGTTTTGCTGCAGTCCGTGTGTCTGTCCGTCGGGGGGCAGCAGGAGCCGCATTGTGCTGCCGCTGATGCTGAGTGACTGCTCCTTTGTGCGGCCGCGTGGGAACAGCTCCGCCGCAAACACCCCCGAAACCGCGCTTAACCAGGCGGGCACCCCTGGGAAAAACAGCCCCCAGAGCCCTGCCTTTGTCACCAACCCGCTGGGAAAGGTGGCTGTGGTGGCACTGCTGGCATCCCTGCCCGCTGCCGGGAGAGGAGGCACCGGGAGAACAGGGTGGGTTAAAAGAGAGAAGGGAAGGGAAGGGAAGGGAAGGGAAGGGAAGGGAAGGGAAGGGAAGGGAAGGGAAGGGAAGGGAAGGGAAGGGAAGGGAAGGGAAGGGAAGGGAAGGGAAGGGAAGGGAAGAGCTGTAATGGTAACATCAGCTTTTTGCTCTGCACAGAGAACACAGAAATCCTTCTCATAGATGTGCATAATGTCATCAAAGAAGGAGAGATTTAGGCATCAGCACCTGTAACTTTAAAGGAACCTTTTAAACTTACTGTTTAGACATATTGAGGATGGCTTAGTCCCGGGGGATTTTGAACCAAAAAGAAGAGATTCAGGCAGATGTTGATCCCAGTAAACTGCCCAGCCTGGATACTCTTCCCTTCCTGCATGGGATCAACCGCTGCTGCTTTGGCTCAGTGCAGCCCCCATACTCCCATGGATGTGTTAGCTGGCATGAGATTCAGGCCTTTAGGATGGATTTTTTGCTGTTGTTTAGAGGAAACGATTTTGGTTTTCAGCGATGTGTTCAGCATCTTCTGATCAAAATGTGTGCTTGCTGCATTTTGGGGCAGCTTCAGCTATTTTAGTTCCTGTTACAACATGTCTACCTTAAGCTGTCTAGGTTAGTAATAGACACAACCTGACATGCTTTTTCAGGTAAAACTTGCATGAAATCCTGGTGAAAAATCAGGCCTTTAGGAGTGTTCCAGAAATGATATTTCAGTGCTGGGCAGGAGCCAGTGTGTGAATGGAATCATTCCCATTGAATTGAATGCATTTAGCCCGAAGGAACTCACCAAGATGTGTCCACTGCTCTTGCTTCTAAACAGAAAGAGCAACAAATGATTGTCACCGTGGGGTTATGATGGTCGGGAGGTTTTTTCATAAATATTAGCAGCTGTTTATTACAAATGCAGACATCTGTGGTACAATCTGCTTTACATATGTGTAAAAGCCTACAGTGGTTGGTGGTTACATGGTAAGAAATGGTCTGTGAGGATTGTCAGGCACAGACTCAGCTTATGCCAGCAAAGCAAAGCCAGTTTATTACACAGTTTGCCAGTATTTATAGGTCACTATGTTCATACAAAATTTTCCACTCTGACCCCTCTGTCCCAGTCCCTTTTAGAAACACAATTTTCTGATTATTCTTCTTGCACTAGTAATGTACTTTGTTATTTCTTTTGCCAGTAAAGTCCTTGTTGCATCTTCCTTCATCAAAACAGCCTTAGAGGGTCACAGTGACCAGACTGTCACTTCTGATGATGTGACACTGATGATGTCTTCACTTCTGTTCTTGCCTTGAGTTTATCTCTCCTTTGGCTTTAACTGCACCAGGGCCAAAAGGTCTGTGGTACTACCCAGTTCAGCTTCTGTAGCTGTCTGATCTCAGACAGTGATCCACAATAATTACAGCTTTTTTTAACAGAGAGAGATGGGAACTGTTGAAGTCACTAGGAGGTGATAAATGTTTTTCAGAGTTGGCATTTTTTGTGGTGACTGGAAATAAAGATTAATTTTCAAGAAGCACTTCTTTTAGTGGGCTTATTCTGCAGCTGAGAAGAGGCTATTTCATAGAAATTGCTCCATGTCTGAAAAGCTCTACCCATTCCTTTGTAAATAAATGGAAGGGAAACGGGAAGATTTGATTACGTGTGAAGGCTTATCCTACAGGCCTTTAATATTGCTAAACAATTTGCATGATTAGATATCAGGATTATTAACAAATTGTGAGTGTTTTAGTGTCTTAACAAATTTGGTTTCAATTAAATACCTAATTTGTTACTGATTTATTACTTTTATTCTTGAGGACTCTTCTCTTGATTATCTTACCCTTACACCTTCTTCTACCTGAATATCTTATTGATGTGGGTTTTACAGCTCTGGTAAATTTGATATTTGGACTCTGGTTACGTTTTGCAGTCATTCTTAGTCAAAAGAGTTGGTTTGAGGAAATATCATTTAAACTTCTGTTTATTTACTGCTCTTTTTGTAGAAATTCACCCATAGTATTTTTCATTATGGTGACATCTATGATGGAGAGTTCTAAACTACTAGTGCTAAGATATAATATTTATAATGCATAAATATGATTTTTCTATGTCATGGAACTGCATAGAAACTTATTTAATAAAATAATCAGTTGAGTTCTAGGTCCTGGACTGAAAAGCTGGATATTAGTTAAAAGACAATAGGCCATATAAAAATAATGCCTTGTTGGACAGGAACGACTAATTGTACTGTAAAAGAAATAAATTTAAATGCATTGTATCCATTGGACTTATTTCTACCTTAAAGGCTAAATTATCCTTCTTATAATTTGAAAATCTTTAAATTAACTGAAGGAGAGAAAATAAATGCATGAAAGGTGACTTCTTGACAGTGTTGTCAATACATGCTTGGAACTGACAACAAGAGAAATTATGGTAACAACCTAAAAAATGGAACTCCTCATGGCCCTGAAAACATGAAGATGATAACATCAGTATGCCAGAGCTATGATACATGAATCCCCTAACCATTATAGAACAATCAATGACTGCCACATATATGACACTTTGTATGCGTGTATAAAAATGCGTAAATAAGTGTTACAATGCTCTGAGCTGCAGGGGAGAGAAGAACTGATATATTTATTAACACTATTTCTTGGACAACGAGCACAAAGGTAGTTGTAAGGAACTCTCACAGAGTTAAGAGAATTCTGCAGTCAATTTAAACTTGCATAGGTACTTTAAGTGCAAGGCCATAACATAATGAGCTTTTTACAAACTTGTTCATCGTGTACTGGAGAATAGTGGGCAGGAGTTTGGAAAGGTGCTTTAGTTTGATGGAATAAAGAAATACATTGGAATACACAGGGGGAAGAAAATTTGCTACTGAAGAAATGAGTAAATGTAATTCTGCTTGCAGTGCCTAGATAGACTTCAACTATGCTGGCCCAGGGGTCTCTATGTGAGGATACAACACTTGTCTGGCTCAGTTATTTTTCAACAGCGGAGTGTTGTTTGTGTTCTGTAGTATGGACATATTGTGGTGGTTGATGTGGGAGTCTTCTGTTTCACCAAGTCTCTGAGTCCTCACACAGCTTCTGCAAAGTTTGCAGGTGCTTGAGTTTTTCTGTCCACTAAAGCGTCTTGAAACAAGTTTTGGCCAACTCAGTAAAGGTGGAGAAATAAAAGTGTTTCTCTCTGACCTCTGTTCGTTTTTGGTTTCTGCCTTTAGGACTGAAGCTTCTGCTCATCTGCTTTGCATGACAAAGTGTCAGAAAGCTGAGAAGATTTTTCCTTGTGTCCAGACAATACAGACTGAGGATACCATGCTGATTCATCAAGATTCAGCTCCCTGCATGTAACATTGCTACTTTCAGCAGTTTCGGCATTGGGATTCATGAGTCTCTGGGGTCAAATCAGGACCCTCTTGCTGGGGAGTCCACAGTGCTCTATGAATGGTGATGATTAGGTTATCATGTCTTTGCTCTTTGATCCCTCCTAAAAGAAAGGCCTGGCCTACAGTTTTCCTGTACATGAATGAGACCACAGATATCCCATGAAAATCTGAGGGAATAAAGGGGCATCAGGTTTGAGGCACTGCCTGTAACCTAGTCACTGGGAGCACTGGCTAGTCCTGGTTTGACAGGCTTTTTATGTTTTATTCCTAAACTCAGCAAGCTCTTTGATCATCTGCCTATTTGTGATACTTTATAAATGAATACAAGTGTTTTGCTGGCTTTGGCTCCAGTTTCAAGTGTTCAGTGAGTGAACTTGAGTGAAGATCTTGCCTGACTTATGTGTTTCCCTTGTGTTAGTAGAGAAGGCGAGTGCAGGACATCTGAGTCCTTTTCCAGGTCTATGGATGTTTGTAAGGGAAGGGATGTGGCAGTCCAATGCCCAGGGGATCATTTCCATTTTCCTTAGCAGACACCTGTCTTTTCAAACCAAGACCATTTATCTGTGCATTAATGTAACCTCAGCACTTATTTTGTCTGCAAGTGCTTCTAAGTAGCAATTAGAAAATATATTCAAAGTGAATTTGATTTCTAGTGACTGTGCATAATAAATGTGCTAAACATAATTACATATTTAAATGCATTAAACTGCAAGAATGATTTGGAATATTTCAGCAAAGCTCAGTGAAGAAGTATGGGAACTATATGCAGTAATTGCTCTAGATTTAATTGTATCATTAAAGGCATGAGTGTTTATATTGTAACAATATAATCTGATTTAGGAAGAACTTACAAAAACATGGCAAGTAATTGTAAGTTTTCTATAACCAGTATTATTTATGTAGCAGCACAGTGCTAGCCCTAGTTTATAGCAAGGAGAGATGTTCCAGTAAGATATCATTTAAAAATATAAGTAACTTATTTTCTGGAGGCATAACATGCTTGAGATAGAACAGATTTCATTCTTAGATCTTCACATAAAATATCCTTGGGGGCTTTTCTTAAAATCATGTAGAGGAAGATGGTCACAGAAGAAAAACTCTATCTAACAAGAATGTTGCCAAATAATCTCTGTGTAAAACCGGTGCTTTCAAAAGGTAAAATTTAGATGAAAAATTTTATTTTTATTTCTTCAACTACCCAGCTGAAGGGCCTAAATCACTGTCTTAGGAACACTAAGGAACACTTGGGAACATTAAGATTTCTGAGGGTTTTTTTTTTCCCATGGATTGGGCTGGAAAGACTGATGTCCAGAGACGACCCAATGCAGCGACACGGCGGGAGCTGCCGAGGTCACTGCCTTCCCAAGAGCGTCTCCCTTAGGGAAAGGCAGATTTCAGGACAAACACCAGACGCTCGTGTCACCAGGTGAAAAATGCAGGTTGGCATAATGAAGAGGCATTCTTCATTATGAGGGTTCTTCATATGACGTTCCAGTGGCAGTTTATTAACTGGCACACCCAAGAGGTTCAGGGACAGAAGAACCACCAACAAAGAAGGGTCCAGGGTTTTTTATGGAATGAGGGAGGCGGAGCATCAGGTCTGAGGGCCAATGGGTAGAGGGATTAGGGGTGGTGCAAAGGTGGGGTCAGAGGGAAACAGCCAGCAGGGATACAGGGGAGGAGTTACAAGGAATGGGAAACAGTAGGGAATGCGGGAACAGGGAACATTCTAGAGCTGGGGAGGAGAACAGGGGTGATGTAACTGGGACCACTAACACAAATAAGCAAGGAACTGTGGGAGAGTGTCTCACTGTGTCGCCCTAACTCTAAAGTGAGTGTTCTCCCAAGGCATTCCAGTTTCTGCATCTGCCTCACTGACCTGGGATGTAACAACCCAAGGCAGCAGCCGCTGTGAGGTGAGAGGCTGATGGCTGGTGAGATGGTGTTGTACATCTAGGCTGGGAGGTTATCACAGCAGAAAGATGGATGTCAGCTCCAGGCCATGCAGGGTACAGAGAACTGCAGTGTTAGCCCTCAGAATCAGAGATACTTGAAACCCAGCCAAATGCTGCTTGAAGTATTTCAAAATGCCCTTTTCTGTGTACACAGTGCCTTCAACGTGAAAACAGTCTCAGGAAGTAGATGTTGCCACTACTTGTTTTTCTAAACTAAGCTTCTATCACTTTTTTTAGACTGGATACAAAACTGGAAAGCAGAACTGACAGAAAAACGACACAATTCCGAATTTCAGTACTATGCCACTGAGCCATCAAATAAGCAATAGGAGCTTTTTCTTGGTGTTCTTTCTTGCTTTAAAACCTATTCAAGGTCATGGTTTGAATAGAAAAGTAATTGGATTTGAGACACCATATGTTGTGGGATGCTTATGACATCCCTAATGAATCTTATATGGGTACTCCTTCCAAAAAAGTGTTGACATTAGCATTGTAATGACTGTTGACATGAAAATGTTCATTAAAAGAAACATCTTGAAGTCAGTGTCATCTGATTTTTTTTCTTTCTGTCTTCCACCCATCATAATAAAATGCCCATCCCTGAGACACAAAGGGCTTTGCTTACCTTTCCAGGCTCCAGCCTGCCACAATCACTCACTAGACTTTACTGCCCTTTCACAACATCTCCTGATTCACAGTGACAAATCCTACACTGTAAAAATAACCAGATTGCATTGCTGAGTGTCTCTTGTTAGTCATTTCACAGTATTTATGGTGTTGCTTGCACAGAATGTTATTTCTGTGCTCTGTTTTTTAAATCTACTACAGGTAAATTCTGTTAAAAGAAAAAATATTTTTAAGGCAGTAAAGTTTGGAGAAGTTTCTTTTTTGTGTGTTTGTCTCTTTCAGTTTGGAGAAGTTTCTTTTTTGTGTGTTTGTCCCTTTCAGTTTGGAGAAGTTTCTTTTTTGTGTGTTTGTCTGAGAATATTGAAGGTTATCTCATATTTGTTCCCTTCTTGCTCGTCAGTGTAACTTTGAAGAATCCTTTAGGTAAGGAACCATAATACCTTTTGTGTAGGACCTGTTCTTCTCCTAAGTGTCCCAAACAAGTAAATTTCTCATTAATTTGTGAAAATTTATCATAAACCTGCAAATAAATTTTTGTCACATTAAAGCTCCCTGGCTGTTCCCTCACACTTCTTGTAGTGCCTCTTCTTCCATTTGGTGTAAACAATTTCTTGGTGCCACAGCATTGTTTGGCTTCATCTTGATTTTTGTGAACTTAAATGTGGTACAATGTGAGCATTAGGGATGGGAGATCATGAGGCCTGACCCCTCTCCATACTGAAAAAGAAATACCAACCTGAACAATCTCTCAGTATTCAATAAGGTCAAACATGTGCTGTGTGAACTTGTTAAACACATTTATTGAGTTCTTGACAGTAACCAAACACAGTGAATGACCATTATAAATAAGAAAAAAGGCATTTGCTTTTACTAGGCCAGCTCCTGCTTTATCTGTAAAGAAAAAATATCCCTGTCACCACAAATTTACAGGATTGAATTTTGTCCCGATAATGGCTTCAGCAAGGAAAATGACAATTTTAAACTGAGATATGTTTCATCTGCTTTCTGCTTCTGAGCCCAGTGGAGTTTAAGTTATACCACCTTTAAGTGCATTCCCAATTGTCCTTCACTCACTTGAATGGGCTGCAAACAAAGAAATTAAGTTAAAAAAAAGAACAAAAAAAAAAAAAGGAAAAAAAATAAAACCACAAATAATGCATCCACAAGTAGAAGAGGCTTGTCATTTCAGAAAGGAAAAAAGAAATCAAAGCAACTTAACTAAATTAATTTGTTAAACACATTTATTGAGTTGTTAATAGTAACCAACACAACGTATGATCTGTTGTAAAGCAAGAAACAGAAAATGGATATATTCTGGTTTTGCCAAATCCTACTACAGATATGTGACAGAGGGAAATATTTAAATTTCCTTTATATTCTGCAGTGATATATTTACAATACTTATCTATCAAAGTCTGTCCCTTTTAAAATTAAATGAACAGAAAGATCATACCTAGAAATGATTTCTTTACAGGAGTCTTGTTCTGTCTTGTCAATATCCATTAATGATAGTGAAATAATGAGAGCTTTCCAAGATTACTTGGCACACAGAACACAACTCCACTTTGATGCTGTACTGATCCACCTTTTTTCTTTTTTTTTTCTTTTTTTTTTTTCAGTTGAGGGAGAGAGAGGGAGAAGATTAAGAATTTCATATGTACAAAGTCTGAAAAGTCTTTCTTTGTGACTCCAAATTAGTTCAGGAAAATTGTAATCACATTTACTGTAATACTTTTGTTTTGTCTTGTTTTGTTTTGTTTTTAAATGGCCACCAATCACATGAATAAATTTTGAGGAGTTTTCCAGCATGGCAGCTCTTTTCCCACAGCACAAAGTGCATGTGAGCCAGAGAGGGAGGTTGGGTGCATTGCAGATGATGTCAATTCCCAGGAGAAGCATTCCACTGAGGATTTGGATTTTGCCTGCTCTGTCTCATTTGAGGAGCCATTCATTTACTGCAAGAGAAACAAACAAAAACAATTATGCTTCAAATATGAAACTGGTTTAACACTGTGATTTAAATTTAACTGCTTTAACACTACACTAGGCACTTAGACAAAATGTCTTAAAAAAAGCCAGGAGGTTCAGTTTCCTCCTTTTTCTAGAAAAGAACTAAGTCTGAAGAATGACTCTTCCTTTGAAGTATTGCAACACAGTCATCTGCCTTGCTGCTGAAAATGTCCTTTCATTCCTTTAGTGCTTCTCCTTCATAATGATGACATTACTGCTGTGAGGGCACTTTAACACTATTATTTCAGGCAGCACAGTTGTGTGCCTGGGCTCAAAGATGCACGAGACACATTAAAGCTCAGTTGTGAGCCACAGCTGTGGCGGTGTAGGACTCTAAGCTGCAGGTGACTGAGCTGCTTCATTGTTTATATCTCCAGCTTTATATCTACTTAGCAATTTAGGTGTTTGTTAAGGTGGTGCGCCTTGAAAGTGAAACTAAGTCTTATCAATTACTAATTTTGTTTGAGATCAGTTGTCATCAAGACTAGCTCATCCCCCTTTGTGGATGAGTAAACCAGAGCAAAATGCAATTTGTAAGGGGAGAACACTTTAAAATGAGGCTAGAAAACCAAGGGCCTGTCCTATTTACTTCTAAAAAAACCATATTTGATGTCCCAGGCTGGTTTTTTTTGTCATGCTTTTCCTGCACATTTACTCATGTATTTCAAATGTGTGGCATTTCACTGACACAGTTATTCCCCGAGATCTGGAGTTTTATGTGTTTTTATTTGTGTGCCTTGTTATGCCCTTGGATTTCTCAAAGAAAGGAGCTCAGTGAAAGCATAGAAAGAGTTATTCTGGAGGTGGAATGTACCTCTATACTGTAGTTTCTGTGCTCTATTGTTTGGACAATCTTTTCCCTGTAAACTAAAGTTGATATTGGTTCGGATACATCGATTGTTGAGAGGCTGGACTGGTCTGAAATTGTCGCTCATGCTCAGAAATATCTGTGATGGCTGATTCTGGCTTAGAAGTCGCAAAGAATGCATCTATAAAGACAAAACAAGGGGGTTTTAGTACTGGTCTTTGCTGTAAGTAAACAACATACAACACTATTAAATAGATTAGTTAATAAATTGAAGTAAAACAGAATTTCAGTGAAACAGAATTTCAGTGAAACCGAATTTAAGTTAACTCTGCCAGTTTGTAGTCAGAGTTAACTTAAAACCATTCCTTGTGTGTTCCTCTGTTTCTGAGCCCCATTTTAAATGAGAGTAACCAGTTTTGTGGGGAGTGAATGAAAACAGTATTGAGGTGTCTTTGGGTGAGCCAGAAAGTAATGGAATAAACAGTGCTGGATGGCAGCTGGATGGCTGGTACAGAGCAAATGAATTTGATGAATGACAAGAGCAAATTTCCTGAACAGTGTAGCTTTCAGTTGAGAAGCCACAGTTTTGGTTGGTGTTATTCAAGCACCAGGTAGGGGCAGGCTGGATGGGAAGGAAAACTGACAGTGATGCTGCTGAAGTCGGGAAATTAATGATGTTAAAAAGTGAGAGCCTCTTTTTGCTGACAGGTCTGTCATGATTCTGTCTGTGCTGTGACTGTGAGTGTTCCTACAGCAGAAACCTGTGCTGGTTTCACAGCACAGAGGGAAATAGTGAATCATCCTGTGCACCCAGTGCTGGTTGGCAGAAATGGCTGTTATGGTGACTGTGCAACTCTTGATTGATCCAAGTCAACCAAAATCAGAGAGGGAAAAAAAAGGTTTCGCATTACAAACCAGAAATCCTCAACATTTTGGTTTAAAGATATAAAAACAAATTATTTTCCACATTAGTGTACAATTTATGATGTTTGTTTATGGCTTTTAATGGGGAAATCTAGTAGCTGGGGTTTATGGAAGTCTTTAACAGCTTTTAGGGAAAACTTGAGCTGCGCATTGCTTTTTCAGTATGAGTACACAACATAATTAGTAAGTACTCCACAAAATCAATTTTCAGCATTAATAATGGAGGATATAACTAAATAATAATGGAGGATGTGATTAACCATTAAAGCACGACAAGTAGCAAGTATCATGAGGTTATAACCCATAGGTAGCAGCACAGACTAGAAATATTTGAATCCTTATTTTGCACATTAATGTTGGACCTAAAAATGTTGCTTGTAGGAAAATATTCAGGTCGTGTGTTTGAAAAGTTCACACTAGTGAGCATTTTTGCCTCTGCTCAGCTGTGTCATTCTCCCAAATCACCCATTTAGAAAGGAAACAAAGTGCTTTCACTACCTCCAGACTAAACTGGACAGAAGGAATACCACAAAAATAAAACATCTTGGGCTTTTAAAAGTAATCTTATTTACATTGTTAATATGATTTTAAATCCCAAAGTGATATTCAGGGTTGTTTTCTTGTTCCTAATTTCATTTCTCAGGCCACATTTCTTCTGCTGCCTGCTTGGGCCGAGCAGATGGAGGTTCAAGTATACAAGAGAGGAGGTTTTAGTTCAGGTCACAGCTCTGTAGGCAACTCACTGATGGAAACTCTGGAGAAGAGGCCAGTTTGTGTTAAATTTGCTGTTTTCTGATGCCAGGATCTGGATTGTAAGCAAGTTGTACAGAAATTTAGTTTTTGAGATTTTCCCACCGGTACGTTTCCTCAATAGCTTCCTTTTGGATGTGAAGTTGTGTTTTCTCTTGCATAATTTCTCTTGCTTCTCTCTAACAGGGGCTTCAATACTTCAGTCTGATTTTTCCGAAGGTATTTGTGGTGTGTATCCTGTAATTTTACTCTATATCAGAAAGCACTGGTATAGATTTTATTTCCAGAAGGCTCCATATCCTGCATCTCTGTCACATTATGTGCTATTGATACATGTTTATTCAGACCTAGGAATGACCTCTGTTATCCTTAATAACCTCAGTTATGTTTGTACAACACTGATGTACTTGTTGTAGAGTCTCCAGGTAACTGTTCACAGCATCACAGAATGATGCAGTTGTGGAGAGACTGCTGAAAACCTTTTGGTTCAAACCCTCACTGAAAATAGGGTCCCCCTTAAAGTTTGTGTGTGTAGATACTGATGGAGTTCTTAACAGTTGGTATTTTTATTTTGACAAAAAACCTCTTCAATGCTTCTGCAAACTGTATAAATAGCATGCAGGGATCCCTACAGCACAAGAGTTGAATCTAATGTAAAGCTAGAAATATTATGTTTAAAATATTACTTTGTACCTATCCCAGATTGAGTAATTTGTAAATTGCTTTACCTGCATCCTTGTTATGTACACAGGTTTGTTCATTATTATCCAGCTTGCTGTTTCATAGCAGGGTGGAATTGTCATTGACCCATCGTACGTAATGAAACTAGATGTCTCTGGGTAAAGTTCCTCAATATTAAGCCCCTGTAGTAAGTATGCATCATCTGGAGAACAGAGGAGGAAAACAACTCAGGTAAAACAGCAGCATCACAAAACAAAACCCCCCAAACAAAACAAACAAACAAACAAACAAAAACAAATTTAAAAAAAATCACCCTTTTCATGTCTCCTAATTCCAGAACACGATGACATGATGTTCAGTTCTACCAAAGAATGAAGCTTAACAGATGCACATTTCTGGATCCTCCAGCAATTTAGACAAGAACAAATAACACAAGTAATATCCCTCACCCTGCTGGGTGGATCTGCACTGAGATTCCCATTCACACACACTGGGAACTGAGCACAGGCACTCACAGGGCAACTCTAAATCACATTTAGGGACTGGAGTCAAAAGCTTCTTGAAGTTGCAGTTATTGATTGAGATGCAGAAGCCTTTGAAGAATGCTGACTTTCCATCTTTTGGGGTCATTAACAATTTTTGCTCGACAAAGCCTCAGAAAGACCAAGAGAATTAAAACTTAATTGCCCTTCTGGCATGAGAGGAAATTGCAGTTAGTGCATGATAATAAAGCTGCTCCATGAAGCCTCCCAGCCTTTCATGTGCACAGTGGTGTGGGTGCAGTGCCAGCTCCCTCAGAAAGCCAAACTCTTTTGGTTGAAGGCTTGCTGGGAAGCAGTACCAGGATTCCTGCCTTTATTGTAAGGCTCTCTAGGAATTAATGAAGTGTATTCCTCTGCAACAGAATTCATTCTGTGGATATGTACCTAAATATAATGAGATATATCTTTCAAAATTCATCAGAGTTCCTCAGTGTTTTCAGTACTATCTGCACTATTTCTCTTGGGTAATGCTGGCCTTACAATACTTTTGGCAGTGCTGTCAAAGCTAAAACTCAGATTTGCCTGCCAAATCTTAGGCTGTAGGAGTTCATCCACTCAGGGATAAACATATTTTATTACTGATACACTGCTGCTTGTATGTATCTCAGAGAAAACTGGGGTGGTTATGATTTGTAACATTGTGAGTTTTCTTTGAACCCTTTCACCTGTGTGTGGTGTCTCCAATTTGGTTCATTTGCAGAGGAAACGTTAAAATGCAGACAAGGAAAAGTGCACACTGAGATGTGTTCCCTCTTTCAATGCTCAACATAAGCTGACCTTGATTTGTAGAGAAATCCAAATGATTAAGGAATTGTATGGGATCTAAAAAAGAAAGGTGCAATTTAACTTGAATTTAACATATTGTAGCTGAAGGACATAACTTAGATGAGCAAAAGACTTGTCTTGTACAACCTAATGGAAAAATAAGAAGTGCTGCAGATTATTGTCTTGGGCAACAGAAAATCAAAAAACACAGGCAGAGAAAATGTGACCTTGTTTTTTTATTTTAACACAGCAGAGTCAACATGGGTTTTGGGGCAACAATATTGGCAGCTACAGCGTCAGTTAAAGTGTCAAGGTGAGACTGTAATGTTTCCGCCTCATTGACCAGGGCCTTACTGTTATTTAACATTCTAAATGTGTTTGTTGTTTTACAAAACAAAATCTTGGCAGGTCCTCTTGTGTTTGTTAGAAAAAGAGTCCTCTGCCCTGCCCTTGCAGCTTGAGCTGGGTGATTGCAGTGCTGGCTGGATCCTCAAGCAGAAGGGGAAGTGCCATTACTTGTTTTAATATGACCAGGCTTCAGTGGCCCATGGCCCATGACAGCTCCTTTCTAAACCCAAATCTTCCAGACACAAGCATGAAATCACAGTCAAAATGCAGTTATATTTTGAACAAGTAGAGATGACTGAATACATGTGGTCATTAAAAACATTATTTGCAGTGCACTGGTAATTTTGCTAGAATTGCATCGGAAGAGAACTGATGGATTTTTTTCATGCCAATGCCTGTTTTCAATGAGTTGTCACACACTTTTCCCTTTCCCACATGAACATCCTGTTCATTGTTTATGAGCCGTGGAAAGTGGTGTGTTTTAACACCAAGTGGCACAGAGTCAGGCAGAAGAGATCCCTAATGACCAAATCTGCTTTCTCACAGCCATATTGGCTTCAGCTGGGCTAAAATCATTTCAACCAGGTAGAATTTGCCCTGAAAGGTTTACTAGGAGATGAAAAACTAACTGAAGATTAATATAGATGAGAGATATTCCTATGAGAAACTGGAGGAAAGTACCACTTCAGGAAAAGTCAAAGATAGGGGTGAATGAAATAAGGTTTTGTCCAAGAAAACACAGTACTTATTAATGCCTGTATATGAGTTATATTCCCATGGGAAGTCAGATGGTTCCTTGAGAGAAGATGACACAAGAAGAATTTGGTTACCAACATTTTTCCCATGAACAGGCCTGTCCTTTCCCCACATCTTGGTAAGGGTTTCTTGTTCTGGACTTGAAGCAGACCTGGTGGGTTGGTATTAATACCAGACTGCTGCCCTCCAAATTCTTGCTTATATTTACTGAAAATACATTCAAAATGCTCAAAATCACCCTGTTATGATCTCTTGCCAGTGACAAGCTTCCTTTCATAAATCCATCCAGCCTTTCCTGGATCCTCTGCATCATTCCTATCAGCAGTCCACAATGTGTTACTCTTGTTCTGCTGGTGCCTTACGGTGATTTCCAAACCCAGGAATTTTTCTCTCTACAAATTAGATTTCATTACATTTCACATTCATTTACATAAAGGCCTTGACTCTTACAATTTACCTAGGAAATAATGTAAATCCTTTTATCCCTAGGCTTGTAATAGATGTGTGGGATTGGCTTTCACAGTGAAATCTTTGTATGTTCTCTTTATAATAATGCTTTTTATAGGGAATATAGTGTTTACTGAGTGGAGGAAAGTACATTTGATTTCAAAGTTCATATCATGATAACCCAGAATAGGATCTAGGTTAGATTTACAGGGTAAGAAATTAAGAGATCCTCAGTTTCTCTGCTTACCAGATAATGAAAAGACCAAATTTTTATGTGGAATTTTGGGAATCTAAAAAGTTAATTTTTTTCCCTGATGTTAAGCAAATACTGGATGAAAGCTCATGTAGCATAACTGTTTTGAAAGAAAACTAACTTGTCCTCTCAAATGGCACACTTAATGAGGAATAATAAAAAAGTTTTCTTTTGAGATACCTACACAGCTTCTGACTAAAACCTGCTTGAAAAGACCCTTGTTTCAGCTTGCTCACAGTCAATTCTTCGGGCTGCGATAACAGAACCAAAGAAACATTTAAAATCTCCTTAAAAATTCCTTGGAGTCCACTTACTTCACTGTAGCCATCAATATCTGTAAATAAACATTTAATATCTAAATAAACATTTAAAAGCTCCTTAAAAATTCCTTGGGGTCCACTTACTTCACTGTAGCCATAGGAATAGAAATTTCCCTTTTAATGCTCTTGGCATGTGGAAATTTCACACAGCAGGAGAGACAGCACTTAATTTTGTTGCTGTTCTTTAAAAAAAAAAAAACAACAAAACCTTTTATTTATGTCATGAACTGTCCTGACTTTGAACCAGCATTTTTTTTATCATTCCCTCCACGCTCCTCTTGAGCACATGGGGCCTGGGCATTTTGTCAGCCCTGTGCTGAGTATTGACTTGGAGAGTGGAACCCTAAAGTAGAAGCTGCAGAACTCCAGCTACTAAAGGCACACTAGAAATCCTTGCAGTGCAAGAGGTAAAATTAGTTTTCAGCAATGGTGCTATAATCCATCATGCAAGACAGCTGCAAAATTACTTTCAATAACACTTTCATGTTCCCAATTTACACTAAAAATCCACAGTCAATACTTGTTACTACAGTAAGTAACCCAATGCCTTGTGGAATATTGTGTGCATTATGTCTACCAGTGATTTAATTTTAACGGATAAACTTAGCGAAAACCGTGGTTAAAAATTAAAGCAATTCTGTTAATCACTGATTTTCCAGCCTGTGTTTTATGTGCTCATCTTCATGAGAAGTTTCATTTAGAATGCCCAAATTAGGTGAGACTGGAGTCATGTCTCCCTTGTAAGGAGACAAAACAAGCAGTGGGAGGCAGTGGGATGCTGCCAGCTCCAGAGAAGAGGAGTTTTCACTGTAAATGCAGCATACAAATGAAACATTTAGTTTTGGGAGGGTGGGCCCCATGGGAGAACATCTGGCTGGTTCCCAGAAGCTGGGAATATAGAATCTGTGGGTGAAGGAGCTGGAAAAAGCACTCTCAGCCTTAACAATAATTCCTCGTTTCCAAAATGCTGCAGCAGCACTGGTAGGCAGGAAGCTCTTGCAGAACATCCTTGCTGCATTTTCCCAAGGAATCAGGACAAGCAGTTTAAAAATGGGACTGATCTGCTTCTTCCATGCAGAGAACATGACATTTGACACTGATAGAACAATCTGGAAAAAACATTCTGAGGAGAACCCTCTGTTGCCTTCCTTTCCATAGGTACTGTAGAGAACTGAGTTTCATTATCATAGAAGCCTCTAATTTGGACTAAAGGTGTAATGAGATTTGTTACCTCTCAGGTAAAAGCAGAGTAGCCTCAGTGGTATGGAGGTGTGTGTGTGTTGCAGGAGAGAACAAAGAATTAACTGTTAACTTCTGTTTAATTTTATTTGTGTTATCCCTTTGCTGTGTACTTTCTGAAAGTTAAATTCTGCTATTGTTGAACTTACAAACTTCACAGCAGCTCAGAATATTTGACAAAGGAAATGAGGTTTTCAGGAGAAGAGGTTTAATTTATGTATATGCATTTTTCATTATTTTCTCTAAAATATCTTAATTAAGCTCCCATTTTCCACAAGGTCTATATATGAACATGGAATTATTGAAGAGCATCAGTTAAAGGCTTTTCAAATGTGAATATAACAAATACAAAAGCTATGTTAATAACCTCTTTCTATATCTGTTAAATGCAGCAATAGTTGAATAGAAATGTTGTAACTTTTCTTTCAAAAAGTAAACACTGATGAATACTAAATCCAGTGAATTGTGCAGGATCTTGACATAACCAGATCCAATATAATCCAGGCTGCTACACATGTCCCTTTTACTGCTAACAGTACAGGTTCTCCTGAGTATTCTGTGTGAATACAGTATATGTATGTGTCAAATATAATTTCATTAATTTGTTGTTGCACCTTCAGATGTAAAACAGACTTTGAAGTTCAAAATTCATTTGATAAATTGATGACCTAATGAGCTTTTTTCACATTCCTGAGTTTGTCATGCAGAGTTCCTGGCAATGCAAACCTGGAATTACTGCCCATAATGAGGTGCCTCTTGTTTCAGGATCACTAAATGAGTTATTTGATAGTGAAAGCTGTTTCCAGAGGAAATGAAAAGACACTTACTCTTATATGTTATTCTTGTTATGGTGTCTCTGTTGAGCATACGATTTAGAAATGGATTTGATGATTCAGATACCTACAGAAGAGAAAATGCACAATGTCAAAATCTTCTCACAGACATTTCCTTGCAGCTCTTTCATGTGTGCACACAGACATTCTCTCATAGTCCTCAGTTGAGTTCTCCTTTTTTTCATTGTTGTGGGAGAAGGAAATAATTACTCACTTGTATTTCTAATGAAGCTTGATAGAAAGTTGGTAGAATAAATAAAACACAAGGAACAGGGTGAACAGAAATCAATGTCTGAATAAAAGCATGAGCACAGGTTTCTTCTCCGACAGCTTTGATGAAATTTGCAGGTGGTTGATATATTAGGCAAGATTTTCACTAGTATTCCATTATTTTATTTATTGATAAATATAATTTCCTTGCAGTAGGCTATTTTAAATGCAAATTAAAGCTCTCTTCCTCTGGTTTATGTCTGGGTAATATATGAGGTAACACCTCATGTTCAGGTGGAACTTTCCATGTGTCAGATTCTACTCCCCAGTTGCTCAGCAGCCCTGAGCAGAGTCTGCTTCATCCTCTGACACCTCCCTGCAGGTACTTCTAAATATTGACAAGATTCTCTCTGTCTTCTCTGTAATTTTTGCCTTTTTCATGACTGCAGGTCAGATTGCTGGGTCATAATACAATACTTTTTGGATTTAAAAAAAAACCCAAAAAAAAAGGTAGCATAAATATATTTCTTAAATATTAGACCCATGTGAAAACTGCTCTTTTGTATCTAATTATTCAGTATACTCTGTGAAATGCATACTTTATATCCGAGGTTAATGCTTTGTTAGGACCTTTATGAAATGGGATTAGAGTACTGAGGGGAAATAATAGATATCCCATACCTAAGGTGTGATGAGGTGAACTTCAGCATTACTCAGAAATACACACTTTTTTAGACTGATGAAACAGATATTCATTTTCTGTTTCTGTTTCATATTTATATTCTGTCATTATGTATCAGATATTCTGATACATAATGACAGAATATAAACAATATTTGGAGGGGAGAAATAATTTTTTTTCTATAAAATGACACAAAAGGTTTCTCCAGTGTAATTAAAGAGGCTTGGGAAAACCATGAAGTTTAGAGTTTAGTGTTAGATCACCATAAATGATAGACTTAAATATGTACCTTGAATGCAACAGGATGGAGACAAAATATTCACATGTCTTTGTGGTTCTGTGAAATGCAAGACACTAGAAGTTCTACTTTTAATGTTCTTTCAGTTTTCATAGTTTCAAGATGTTTTAAATAACACAGAAAAAACCTGATTTTGCTGGCTTTGAAACCTCAGCATGACATGCCCTCTCTCCCAGGGCCTCAACCTACTAGAAGGGATTTGAATGAATAATGTTTCATGAAGAAACACTAAATTTGCAAAGCTAGTGACTTCTGCCATAGCCAATAAAGTTTTATGAGTGATGTTTATGATGTAAGGGTTTTTTTCCCCCCACCTCCCTTACCCTTTTTAATTTTCTTTATATTGTAAAAGCTTTGGAGAAGAGATGGCATGCTCAGTTTAGGAAGAAGCTGTCTCTGGATTCCAGATCAGAGCTTCTGGGCATTGCTGTAGCATAATTAGGAGTCTAACGCCTACATTTACAGTTCATGGAAAATTTACTGTCTATATATTAGGAATCTCTAATACAGAATACTTACTTTCATAAATATGGAAACTACCACCAACCCATTAGGACTCTTTGCAGCTTCTGTGACATTTGTGTACAACTCATGGTTATAGTGGATCAGCTGAACCTAAAAAAGAGTGAAGGGAAGGATTACAAGCAACCATTGGCAAATAATCCCATACAGTTTTTGCAAACACTACCCACACACTGCTTGGTTTGTATCTCCATCCCATCTCTGCTTTGGGTACTTTGCAGCAGGGTAATTTTTCAGGCATTTGCAGCACATATCATTTTAACAATTTCAGTCACCATCTGGCTCCAACTGGTGCAGCATCAGCATGTTTTCCTCTAAACTGCCAGCCACTGGATTCAGCCACTGGATTCACCCACATCCAGTTCCAGATTGCACTGCAGGGCTGACATCACCTCCCTGTTCCATCACTTGCCATGGGCACCAAGCAATCCGTGCTCTGCAGCCTGAAGCCAATCACAGAAGCATCAGGGGTTGAAATATTTGAGGAAACACATGGGATATGAGTTTGGAGATGTGAAAACCACCACTCACAGAATTCCAAGTACCGGTAATCATTTGCCCCAGATTCTGCAAACTTGGTTACAGAGGCTCCTACAGTTAAGCACTTACTGTATTGTTAACCAGGTTCTCCTTAGCACCTGCAGCTTTCCTTCTGCTTTTTAGTTTTATGATTGGCTGGAAGTTTTAAACTGCAAAGGCACAGTTCCCTTCTCTCACTACCTATGTAAAATATCTTACCCAGAACCTTGATATTTGATTTGTCTGGGATCACCAGACAGTGCTACAATTTACATTGCAAACTTTTCTTTTTTAAAAAAAAAGATGAACAAATTTAATGAACTCTGGTGGCAGTTAAGTACTTCTGAACAGATGAAAGCTAGTCAGCTTTATTTAGCCTAAAGATCTTTCTTAGTTTTCAGATGTCAATTAGAAAAGGAAGGTTCTTGTTCTGGCATTGTCAGAATTGCGGCAGCCATTCACATTTAAAAATCAGGTCTGTCTTTCATGTGCTGATACTTCCAAAGGCTGTTCAGAGAAATTTCTGGACTTACATGCTGTGAACAAGATCAGTATTAACTTGGTTTATATCTGGTAATCTTTGTAACTATGCAAACCATACAAAACTAAGATTGCCGGTAAAGAAATTTCATTATAATGTGCTGTCCAGGTTTATAATGAGGGAAAAAAACAACCCCTAAACATCATTGAAACAGGGTTTAATGCCTGTATTGGTGAAATTGTCTTTTGGATGAATGTGAGGTCTGGTTATTTAGTACTGAAATGTAATTGTGAGCATTTTTCTGCAGGAATGATGTTCCTACAGGATCTGAAGTACACGATCAAGTTACACAGACTAAACCTTACTTTGCTACCCAAAGGGGTAAGTCCAGCCATCCATGCTGATCTGATTATAACAATATCCCAAGTTATGTGTAACCCATACCATTATTATCTCAGTCCAAGATAGGGTAAGAAATAAATGATGAATTCAAACAGTTCTATTTCCCACATTATGCCCTGCCTGCAAAAGGTATTATTCTTTTAAGTGAAACTTATCAGCTTTATATAAAAGGCCCTCAAGCATTGTCCTCTCACCACCCCCGAAATCCTTTTGTGATGCTGTTTTAGTGCTTGTACATAGATGTAAAAAGGGGCAGTGGAAACTCTGAAAGAGAAAATTTCCATTGGTAAGATCAGAAGATTTTTGGTGCATAGCTTTGCTATTTACAGCCAGCAGTTCAGAGACCAAAAAAATAAGGTGAGGGTCAAAAGTACTGCTATGATGTGTTAATTTCAATTACTTTTGTCCTGTCTCAATTGGGAACTATCTAAAAAATGTCAAAAGAGCCAATGGAGTCCTCTACCAAATTCTGACAGTCAGAAAGCAGGGCCAAGTGAAGGTCTCATACAGCCTCAGAGGTTATAATGTTCATTCACCATCACTTTGTGGTACTACTGAACTTTGATAACATCCCTGTTCTGGGGACCGTGCTCTCACTGAAATTTTTAGGCTTAGTCATATATTTGTATTTTTATGTACAACTCTTTATCCTGGCAGCCAAACTAACTTGTGAATTATCAAGGAAATAAGTGATGAAATCTGCTTTAGACTAGACCTCCTTCTGTACAAAGTCCCAGAATAACAATTAACTAGATAAACTCATTTTATATAACACACCAAGATGGTGGGTGCAGGAATGGCTAAAAGCAAGGGACAAATTCTCCTTCCACCCATGGGAACCCTGAGTCGACATCAAACCCTTGTTTTGATTGATGGCACTTACAGAAATAAAACCCCTCAAGTATATATAACCATATACAGGATATTTGTCCCAAACAAAGGTCTCAGTGCCTAATGAAGAGACACTGTTTTTTTTTTCTTCTCAAACTTGTCACTTTCTCTGTGCTGGAGTTGTATCCTTCCTCCCTGCTCCCAAATTAATTTTAAAGCTGTTTCCATGGTACCATGGTTAAATTCATTACGTTTATCTTTCTTTAGAAAAAGGTTGACCATCTAAGGAGGCATAATTTTCAAAGTTTCTCACATGGAACAGGCTAATTTAGAAAGATTCAAATGAACGAGTGTCTTAAACACAGAATACAACAGGACAGAAAACCATAATTCCCTATTAAATTTCCTCTGAGAATAATTTCTTTAAGTTGCCTAAAATAACTGTAAGCATTTGGTCTGTATAAAATATTACTGGGGTCTTCTATGAAGGTGAAGTCACAAAAGTAAAATTGCTCATATATGAACATCTCACTTTTCAAATGATGACACTGTATTAAAAGCACATCTCAATAAGAGCAGATTTACAATGCTGAAAGCACCCTTTGAGTTTAGTTTGGGTTTCAGGGCTCAAAGGCAATACTGAATCTTGTTTTAATCCACTGATTTTCTTAGGAAGATTCCCCCTTTAAGATTAATTTGCCACAGAACAAGTGATACCTCTTTGTTTTCCTCCAGCTACAGAAGATCTGTTTTGCAGGAAAAAGATTAAGTAAGATTAATTACTCTTTGATGAAAAACCAGAACGTGGCCTTGTTCCACCACCCAAGAATGTGCACTGGACCAAGACCAGAATCAGAAACAGCTTTTTAGCCTCTCAAGACTGTCCATGTTCTGCTGCAGGCAAAAATGGAGCAATAGGAAACTGAGGGAATTTATAATATTGCAGTAGTTCACACACAGTTTTCCACAGTCCTCTTGGGAATAATAGAATATCCTTTTTTCTCACTTGAAAAATTATAAGCATTTTTGATTTGTAAATGATGAGAGAAGTAAAGCTTGAAGTAAATGGCAGCAGGAAAACAGCTCATCTGTAACCACAGTATTTATAGTATGCTGCACTATCTGAGAAACTGTTGGGATACCTCATTGAGAGCAAGCAGAAAGTGTGTTTCCAGCACAGCAGGGAACAAAAGCAAATGAAATTGTTCAAGAAGACCGGTTAAATGTTTGTTTAGATTCAGAATTCCTGTAAGAAGTATCTAAGACATCATTAAGGAAAATAATCATGCATTTTTGTTCCTCCAAAGTTTAATAAAAACAGCAAAAGAAATGTAGTTTCTGCACGGTGGGTGCCCGGAGAGAAAAACAATTTCACTGAGTTAAAAGCTATTAATAAGAACAGTTATTCCACTGTTAAAATATAATTTCTCTTACAGGTCTTGTAAAACTCAAGAGTTTTACAAGTTTTAAATAACAAAGAGTTATTTATGGCACTAATTTTGTGGGTATGAACAGGTATGAGATCAGGGCAATTTGTGTGACTGACAAAACTGTTTTTAAAGTTGTCCTAAATTAAATTAAATGCACCTCCTGCTTTGTGGAAAGGCATAGCACCAGCTGGGAGAACATGGACCAGCTCTGTGCTCCTGATTTGTCTTGTTTGCCTGGACCAATCCAGGAAAATTTTCTTATCTTTGAAGAACCAACCCATCTTTTCATGCCCAGGGCACTCAACTATGAAACGTTAGTGTCTGACAAGGTGATTTTACCTATTAATTAATCCACAAATGTACCTTTTGCTCTTTATGTATACGCATACAGCAATGCAGTGCTCTTGCTTTGTTAATAAATTGATAACATGAATTGCAGATGATCACCTGTACTGCAGTTTACTTTGCACTTTAGGAAATTACTGCAGTTTTAAGATTAGAATCTGTTTAAAAAAAATAACTTTGCTATATTAAGCTAAGGAGAAATGCAAAAAAAACCAGTTGCTTGAAATAAATTTTTAACTCTTTTTGATGTTCTCTTTATTAAAATGCAGGTTATTTAGTCTTTTGCTGACAAATGTGCTTTGTGCTTTGTTTTGCATTTTTTACTGATTTTGACACTTATTTTTTGATTTAAAAGAAATGTATATAAATAACTGGTTTAATAGATAGGCTTGTCATCCACATTTATAGCTATATGTCAACTGTTTTATCCTAGATAAATAAACAATATTAGAATTATTTTTTACTTTAAAAAGTAAGACTAAGAATGCATGGAAGAAATTCATTTTTCTTCTGCTTCTGAGCAGACAGCTGAGTAGAGAAATGCAATAATCGTGCAGTAAAGTGGAAATACAGTTGGGTTAACTACTCTTGGCTGCAAAATCTACTTTATTAGAAATAATGGCATGTTTGGAATTAGCACTGAAGCTATAAATGGCGTCTAACCATTTTGTGAGAGCAGTTGGTAACAAGAACTAACTTGCAATAAATTGTGTTCAACAGCAACGCTGAGCCAGTGTTCCTGGGTAGCATGTTAACATGGGGTGTTATTTACAGCATGTATTATGGCTCCTAGAAATAAATCTATAATAAATATATAAAAGGCTCTGCCATAACTTGCGTTATGGTTGAAGTAGTTTTCTCTAGTTATTTCTAGAGGCCGTTTGGGCTGCTGACCTGGTATGTTAGAGCACAATAAGGCTTGAACAGAGCCTTATTTTTTGTTTATATGCAACCACTGCAGCTAAAAAATATTTTTTAAAAAAGTACCTAAATGAAATGTAGATGATTAAGTCTTTCTCCTTAATATTTATATATACTCTGAATACTATTTATTTGCAAGTAGGAAACAAGACTAGTTCAGGTAA